AGCATCTTCGAACGTTGATTACGATAGACAAAGAAGATAATTGTAGATGTCAAGGTAGGACACTCTCATCCACGAGATATAAATTTTGTAGTTAGCATGTTAAATGCTTCATCATAGAGTTATTTCATCCTTCAACTTCTAATTTTTCAGTTAAAAATTCAGCGTTGGAAATCGAAAAACCTTTCTGTCGGGTTGACTCCTAACTTCATAAATTTCTAGTCAAATGGAACCGCGTCGTTTGATAAACAAAATACATGTTTTTGTGAATCGAAAATACTTCTTTTGATACTTTCCATCTCCTAATGCCTCTTGGAGCTCGAAAAAAAAAGTCTCAAACTCATCTGTCGGCTCATAATCTGGAAGATCCTCATACACTTATTCTAGACTGCCAATATCTCAGATTTCTACAATCACTCGATCAAAAACAAACGGATATAGCTAGGTTTGGAACATCGGTAAACAAGCCGATGGCTATCATGAAATGACAGCTTTAAAAAGTGCATAGCATATGCTTGATAAAGGAATAGACAGCTTGGAATAATGCAGCGCAAGTTTGATGGATTAAACCAAGAGGGAGAAATAAGAAGGAAGCATTTGTGCCAGCTAATATCGTGAATTCAAATCGAAATTAAGTGTCAGTCGTCCTCTGACGTTGACCGATGTGTTATTGCATGATTTGATGCGAGGACGTTGCAATTTTCTTCAGAAACCGCATCCTGAGTACTACAACTTCCCGAAACATTTCGAATGGTCCACTGCCACAGCCGCTTTTCAGATAGAAGGCGCCGCACGAGAAGATGGTTAGGACAACATTTGATGACAACCACAATTTGAAATAAGCTTTAAGGTCGTGGACCCTCTGTGTGGGATGAATACACGAGAAAACCAGGGAAGATAAAAGACAATTCAACGGCAGACGTAGCATCTGACAGTTACCACAAGTTCCGAGAAGATATTCAGTTGATGAAGTCTCTTGGTGTCAGTTTCATAAGAAATAAAAATGGCATAGAAGAAAAATCACCGTTCTCAGGTGACCCATTACCGATTTTCTCTCTCTTGGCCTCGGATCTTTCCGACTGGCGTCGGCAAGACAAACCCCAAGGGAGTAAAGTACTACCACGATGTCATCGATGCTCTTCTCGAAAATGGCATTAAACCAATGGTAATTGCTGAAATTGGAGAGTAAAAGAAGGCATAGAGGTTGTATTTTAGATAACTCTCTACCACTGGGACCTTCCGTTGGCTCTTCATGATCAAGGCGGATGGTTGAATCGGGATATTGTAAAGTGGTTCCGCCTTTACGCTGTTTTCTGTTTCAAAGAATATGGCGATAAGGTACACGCTACAAGGTTTTTTGAATTAAACATTATTCTCCACTCGGTACAAAAAAAAAGGTAGTTCCCCTTTACCGCATTATTGAGTACGTAGCATTCGGAAAAGTTGAAAAAAGCTAGTTAAAAATGTTGGTATAGGGTCAGAGT